CTCACTATTATACAATTACAATTGTAATTGACCCCAAGTCTGATACCAGCAACTTTCCATTAGCTTTAACAATACAGAAGCTCCTCATAACCAAGGAACATAAAAAAATGCTCTATATATACTTGTGCGGAACAGACTCTTTATCATCATTGTCAGCTTTTTGCAGCTCAAGATCATCAAAATTTGATTGAGTTGTGTCATATGGCAAAGACAATCATCTTGATAAAATAGCAGGTTTGCAAATGTTTCTATTAGTCTTGTCTAAACCTTGATAGAGTATCAAAACTTGATTAGGAGTATATTTGGCAGACACTTTTGATGCACCCATATACACAACCTTAATTCATTTATAGAGTGCTGTATCACACTTAGCGCTTTCTACTTCATGCTGTATTGCTGTATCAACTCCCATACAGCACTCTTTACTGTGCTATACTGTACGGTTGGTGAATTTTGTGGGGTATTAGTTTTCGTTAATTTCGTGGTTCATTTTTATCCACGAAATTTTAACCCAACCACCCACACAAAAAACTAATTAACGGGCCATGCAGAGCTCTAGCTACTACATTTCCAAGCCAGTGGAGGGGCCAGAGTCTTTGTCTGTTATTCCATATTCCACTATAAGCCATGTATTGGAAGCTAGTGCAGTAGATCCAAGTAAAAAGAAGTTTGCTAACTCCAAGCCACGAATATTTGTACCCATGAATATTAGCTTCTAAGGAAATTTTTGAGAAAACGCGAAATATTGGACCCTCAAATATACACTTGTATATTACCAATCGTACGACGTACGGTAACTGATTCGTACAGTATAAAGTATATGTGTATGTATATACCTATTTTCTTTTGAAGAGATGATCGTAACTGATCAATTTCCATAAATGCTTTTGCCATCTTCTTTTTGCTGTCTTGCTTCTCAGACTCTAAATAATAAAAATGAACCAATTAAATTATTAATACATTGTTTTATTCAAAATTCATGCATGTACATGACAATATTCATAAATATAAAATATCATGTCTCAAAACAAGAATGTAATTATACCTGATGATTGTATTGATGACTTATTTCTTTCATCAACTTCTCTATCTTGATATGAGACACCTTTAAATTATCAATAATTATAATTAATAATAATTAGTATATACCTGATGTGTCTGTTGTACCCTTCAATTTAGCGTTCTCCTCAAGTAAATCATCTCTTTCACTCTCTACCATCTCCAGTTTCTTCATTAGACTCTTCACCTCCTATCAAATATTAAAGTATACTATTAATTTATATACACATACATTCACTAACCTCATCAATTG